TTATGCACAGAGTAACTGAAGGGTGCAAAGGTTAAATAACTTGCCCAGGCCCACATGCTCAGAAGGTGGAGGAGCGTCTGGCTCCAGAGTTTGGCATCTTATCCATTATGCTGTCTCACCTCAAATCCAATCTGCCACCATTTATAGGTCTTCTACAAGAGCAACATAGTAAGGAGGAGAAGCTATGATGAAAATTTTTGTGTTAGGTGCTTCCTTTCTCCTGTTTTACCTAATATCCCTTCTGTCCAGGTGCCCACTACCTTCTGAATTCTCAAAGCTGCCTAATAACATTACATTATAAATTTAATAATGGGTACTTAATAAATATCTGTAGAACAAATAAGTAAAAACCCCATCGGGATGAGCATTATTATATTTACATTTTATGGATACAGAAACTGAACTTCAGGAAATGAAGTAATTGCTGGCTCTTACTCAGTTCATCACTTGCAGAACCAGAGTTTCAGTTCATCTCTAATTTACTCCAATTTTTGAGTCTTCCCACCTTATTATTATAAATTTCCATATAATTCCTTTCCAGGACCTTCTCCTCATCAAAGCTTCAATTTAACACTTTCTTTCCTCTCTTCTCTTTCCTTTTCCCATCTCCTTTCTGATCCCTGTATCAAAATTTTCAACCCTCAGCTTGCTGAATGAGCTCTTCTTGGAATCAAGGAGAAAGTAAACTGGGTGAACAACATCCTAAGAGGGGAATGACTAATATCAACGACAACAACAGCAGTTGTACACCTTACTCGGTACTTATGTACCATTGGATCCTCACGGGGGTCCTCACGGGCTAGGTCTTCTCACCCTACTGTATAGATGAGGAAACGATAGGTCTTGGATAATCCTTGTTCTCTCTGGCTATAAGCCATACCATCCCAGAAACTGTTATTTTACAGTTTAAAATGTTATCCTAGTCACCTAAAAACCCCTTCAATAGGAAAGATTGGAAAAATGAGTGAGGAAAAGAGCATTCTGACAACATGGAAAGATTTTTAAATTAGATCAGAGTTTCTTGATTCTGGCTGCACATAAGAATACTCTGGAGAGTTTCCAAGAAGTACCTTAACCTCATCACAAACCAATCAAATTAAAATCTCTTCAGTTAGAGCCCACAAGTGATTTTTTTAAAAAGCCCTCCAGGTGATTCCAGTGTACAGCCAGGGTGGAGAACTACTCTACATCTGAAAAGATGTGTGTGAGAGGAGCCGTGTTCCACGTGTGAGTCATTCTCATGTCACCATATAGAATCATGGTGTTCACATGTGGGTGCTCAACACATGTGTGGATTGACTGACAGATCTTTGTTATCTGGAAAGATAAGACGTACATTGGAAAGCACAAGTACTATATAGGTATATTATATGAAAAGACATCCTTAGTAGTAGTCCCAAGTAGGAGGTACTTGAAATTATGCCTTAATTGTGTTAGTTGAGCAAGTCAGAATTCTCTGCTAACCATTTTATTATTTCATTATTTATAAAATATATCTTTAGTTATGTTATCATTCACACCTTCTACATTCAAAAATGTTCTATGGTTGGAGAAAAGCCACTGGTGTGGCACAGTGCATGGCATTTGTAGTTATGTTTCCCCCCACTCCCCTTCCCTTCTCTAACCTTCTTATACTTTCCCTGCCCTTTTTATCTCTTCCTTTCCCTACTCAACAGAAATTTGAGAAATACTAATAGAGCTGAAAGTGTTAATTTTATAGCCTGAAAAAAATTGAGAGTGTGTTTTTACTTTTTCTGTTTCTCTGTCTCTCTCTGCTTTCTCTTTAATCAATTAAATTATAAAGTAAGGAAGAAAGCATTGATTAAGAGTTTGGTCCCCTGATTCTCAGGAAGTAAAAATCAGAAGTTTATTATCCCATTTTATGTGTTTAAATTTGACCTCTTTTCAAAAAGTGTTTTAAGTTGCACTGAACATAACAACATTGCAAAAAATTAATAATATATAAAAAGCAAAGTTAAAATCTTGGAAAAGAGGATGTAGCAATATAACTATAGAAGCTTAGCAGAATTTTGCGAATGAGTAGGAAATTTCCTGTGGGTTTCCCGATAATGAAGGCAAGAAACAGTTTTACATGGTTGCAGGTAGCAGAAAGGAGGAAGTCTATAGCGATTACTCAGGAATAACAAGAAACTTCTTCTGTGAGACCTTATAGGGGACATTGTGTATCATGATAGCAACATCCTTGACTACAGTTTCACAACAAATACCAGAGTAGTTTCAGTATTTCTGTTCCTTGTAGTTGAAGACGTAGCATTAAAGCCAAATTCAGGGAGGTGATCTTTAAAGCTGATACAGGATTTGAGCTGATCTTTATTACATATACATTGTTTCTTCTTTTATTTTTGTCATTTTCCTCCTTGATTTTCTTTAGAATTTTCTTTAAGCCACAAAATAAATGAATGGGCTTTGTTTTTAACCTTACTACATGATTTTGTTTCCCCCCAGTTAACTGCTTACTGATAGAGAAATTTAGAACTTATTTTTAGTTGCTTAGGGTCCTTCAGAGGCCTGAAGTCTGCCCTGTCTAGTTTGGCTTCTAGTTTTCCTTAATTGACACTTATTGATGGAGGAGAGGCTGACAGACTGTGTAGTTGTGCTGAAAGGAGGTAAGACCAAGACTCCTGTATGTTGATGTTACTGGCCATGGGCAAGGCACACTTTTCCTCCTGTGATTGTGCAACTGCAAAAGTAATGGTAGAGTTCAGTGCAGCTTAGAATATTAAAGTGGCAGGTATGGGTGTGATAGAAAAACAATAGGTGCTCTGCTTCGTCTGGTGAAATAAGCTAGCAGGGACTCACATTCTGAAAAGACTGTTGCCTGCATTTGGCAAGTTGTTTTAGCTGCATGTTCTGCTGCTTTTGCCTGGTCCTCCACATACCAGTTGGGTTCTGAATCTGGACTGAAAGTAGAAGGCGATTTTTACTATGCAAAATCAGCTTGTGTAAACTTGAATTTCAGTTGTCTTTCTCATTTCCCTTTTGGCAGCAAACATTAATGCTTGAGGACACGCTGCCACTCATTTCTGGAAAACACCAAATATTTGGTTTTATCTGCATTCAGACAGAATCAGTTTCAAGTTGTTTCTGTAGATACTAAACATAAATATTTAGATAAAACAAGCTTCTAAATTGTGTAATTTACTCCATCATCTGGAATTATGATTTTTTCCCTATGGGAGTCTGAAAAATTTATTGAACACCTACTTTTTAAAAGGCATTATAATAAATAGTAAGTGCAGAGTAGGGGGATACATTATAAATAATACACATGGTGGTAGCCCACTGTAAACTTCCAGTAGAGTTGAGAAGTGAAAATATTAAATTAAATCAGTTAAATTATTTTAAAATAGAATGTTTTTAAAAGGCAAAATTATTCACTGTAATAAAAGTTGGACATGGATATTTTGGGGGTACCATAGAAAAAGAGTGTAATCAAGTTAAAGCAGATATTAAAAGAGATAATATGGCTTGGTAGAAATGACTCAATCAGGAAGGAGATAAGTAGTTAGGATCATGCTTTGAAAGTTGTCTTGCGTTTTCTGGAAACTCTTTAGATGAAGAACTTAGGAGGAAATTTTCATTACAATATTAAACATAATAAGTTAGCTTTAAAACATGAAACTCCAGCAAATGACTCATTTACTTCAAATATTTGAAGCATGGCAAAATGATTTTTTTGCTATTTTTGACTAAAACTATTTTTTACTGTTTCAAACGTGTTTTAATAGTATATGATATATACCTATGTACATATGCATAATGTCTATAAAAATATAAAATTTTGTTTGTGACCCCAGTAAGTTTTTTGATGTTCACATAATATACTTTTTAATAATTAATTGCCTTTCAACTACCATCCTCAAAAGTGTGGGTGCTCTTCATGTTTTATTTAAAGCATTATATTTCAACTTTACATTGTCAGACTTTTTTTATTTAGAAAAGGATTTTTGTCTATTTAAAAACTAAAATTCTGAAAGCAATGTATTAAGAAAATCTCTCTTCTGATCTTTTATGTTTAAACTTTTAAAAAGAAATTTTGAGTGTATTTTGGATTGTCTTTCCAACACTATTGTATTTATCTCTTAAGGCTTATGGTTTATTTTTAAAGGGATCTCTGGAACCTATATAAAAAAAACTTGAAAAATGAATCATCTCTTGTGTACACAAAATAGCTCTTAATATTGTTGTCATACTTCATTTAGATGTACTCCATGTTTAGATGAATGAGACATACTCATGGGACAACTAAATAGTTGTGTGAGAATATTCTCTTATGGTTTTTCATCTTTTTCATTCATATCACTTCTCTCAAAAATTCATTTGTCATCCGTCTGTCCGTCTAACCAGTTATTCTTTCTTTTTTTTCAAGTATGTATTAGGCACCTACAGTATTAAAGAGAGTAAGGTGGTGTCTGGGTGGGTGAAAAGCTGCTCCACAAGTGAATAGGTCATGAGACATGACTCTGAGAGACAAAAAGTAGGAAATGTTAATGTTAATTTCCATCAGGGTAAAGTAATGCACTTTAGGGATTTGCAGATAATAAAGAAAATTTCCAGCCTGTAGGAGGTGGAATGAATGCTTCAGAAATACTTTTTTCATTTAAGCTTTCCCATTCAATCCTGTTTGTTTGTTTTTTGTTTGTTTTGACGAAGGAAAATGTTTTACTCCTTCACATTTAGTAAAATGTGATAGAAGGTGTCTGTTCTCAGCTCAAAATGCCTAGGATATGCTTAGGTTTTTCAAGACATTTCACATTGTTAATACTTTTCTTTTTTGTAGTTAAAATATACATGTTGTTAAATACTCATTAAAATGACAAAAAGTTTGAGAAACTGTCTGCCCTCAAAGCCCATGTTCTTTCCTTTCCTTCTTAGTGAAGAAACCCTATTAGTTGTAATACTGTCATGTTTTTTAAAAAGTGTTTATTGTGATCTTTGCTCATTTTCTTTCACTTAATTTTATAACACATTATTTTCAGAGCCAAAATCAGTAAAGGCTTGGAGGATTTAAAACGTGTTACTCCAGTAGGAGAGACATACATCCATGAAGGACTAAAGCAAGTAAGTTCTTTTATGAGTATGGGAGAGAATATCTTGTAATGGAATAAATTATAACTCTAGTTAAGCTCAAAGACTCCATTATATATTTATCTTAAAAAACATTAACAAAAATGCTTTTAGTTGTTCTAGGGATGAGACTGATAGAAAACATTATTCACTGTGGAGATAAGAAAAGTTTGGATGGCATTTTGCCTTTTAAGGAATTTTCCATTTTTGTCTGTGGTTACATTCAGACTAGCCAACCAAAGCTAAAATTCTTTATCATTTAAACCCAATAGTAACTACTCTTAATGTGAATGTATGCATATTCAAATAACATAGTTAATACAAAATAATCCTGTTTTAAAAGCCAGTCCATAATATTTTGATTTTGTCAGACTTAAAAATTCAGCTTGATGGAACATACTCATTAAAAGTTAAGATTAAATTGTGAACTGGATAATTATTCTTCATTTTCAGGCAAATGAACAAATTCAGAAAGCAGGCTTAAAAACCTCCAGTATTATAATTGCTCTGACAGATGGTAAGTTGGACGGTCTGGTGCCATCATATGCAGAGAAAGAGGTGAGTATTGAACTGAAACTGTTCTTTACACCCCAGTGTGCTTTGCTATGTGTCTCTGCATGTATAGCTTGGTATCTGAATAATTCATCTTTCTCCCTCTGTCCTTCTCCACTGCCCCTACCCCCACCCCCACCCCACCACCATAGGCTAAGATATCCAGGTCACTTGGGGCTAGAGTTTATTGTGTTGGTGTCCTTGACTTTGAACAAACTCAGGTGAGTACAGCAGATCTGCAAACTATAATCTAAATCGTTTAATTGTCTTAAGGGTAGTTTATCAATTTTTTTTTCACAGATGACTTACTATAACAGTAATCAATTGTTAAAGATTTTCTGTAAAAATGGCTGTATGTTTTGATCTCTGCATTAATAATGCCTGGTGTTGGTAGATTTCCTTACTGAAAAATGAAACTGTCAATTTCTTGAAGACTTATTTGGTTTGGAGGAACTAATATAGGACAAACATTTGGATTAAAGTAATATGAATACTCCTTTAATTCAATGGACAAGACTATTATGACAATCTTATTTAGGTGTTTTAATTCCATTTAAAACTAGACTCAGGAGTACAGGGATTTGGGAAGTCTTTTTAGGAGGACTAACAATTTTCCTTACAAAAAATAATTTTTTCATGAGGTTTTGAGTGTATAGGTATGAATTATTTTTTCCACTCATAAAATGATTATACATTTAAATTTTCGGTGGAATATGATTATGATTCCTGTGTCTCCTGACATTTTTAACTAGTAGAGCTTTATACTGTTTTGGAATTGAAACTTGGGTCCAGTGTACAGGGGCTGAGGCTGATCTCAGCTCATTTCATTGTGTTACATTCAGGGTAACACTAGTACTATCACTTTCAGTTACTTTCAAGCTACACTGGTGAATTAATCCTGTGGTATAATTTTTCAGCTGAACATAACTGAAATGTAGTGAAGTGTATAAAGTGTCTTATGTCTCAAGCCCCCTTAATTAAATTTCCTCCTTTTTCTAAAGCTTGAAAAAATTGCTGATTCCAAGGAACAAGTATTCCCTGTCACAGGTGGATTTCAGGCTCTTAAAGGAATAATTAATTCTGTGAGTATTTATTTTTTTTGGGGGTGGGAAAGGCTCATAATTTTAGATGTATTTTAAAATGTAAGCAGTTAATCTTGATATCCTGTTTAGGTGGTCCTTATCTTGAAGAAAGAGATTAAGAAGGAAGTTTGTGTGTTATTACAAGCACAGTGTAGTTCTAAAGACCTGGATTTTGGTATTGATTCTTACAAATTGAATGCTGTGAGCCTGGGTTTGTGATTTCAAGTTTAAGATTTTCATAAACAGTCTTAGACACTTCTACCCTTTGAGTGTGGAGCTCCTCACTCTCTTGATATCTTGAAAGTTTTATAGGCTTCATAGAAGAGTAAAATAAAAATTTGGATTGCAATGTATGATTGCTCCCTCTAAATACGGTATTTCTTAGCTATCCGTGAGGCAACTTGATCCGGAGGCTGAGGAGTTGACTGCTCTTGTTGTTCTTTCCATTTTAATGATTAATAGTTTCACTGAAGCTCATAACATTTCTGTTTGGAATTCAGTTGAGTTGTCTCTGGTGATCGTTAGAATCCAGACTACCCTAAACAGGGTATGGGGAAGTGGAGTGATGAAATGCAAAGCAGAACCCCTGGGCTTTCACAGCTGGGGTTTATGTTTCATTTTACTGCCTTTTGCTAGAAGCACTAGGAACAGTTGCTATTAAGTATTTATGATATTTTGGTAAACACCATCCTAAAATGGAAGTGAATAATATATATTCTCTAAGCCAAAGCTTTTCCTTTAATCTTTAGGTATTTATTGAAGGAAAAAAAAAATCTCTCAGGTTCTGACATTTGGTTCTTGCATTTAAAATTTCTCTTTAAATATCATGTTTTTTAGAGACACAGAATGAGAGTTATTGAATTTGTTTTTAGTAACAGGCAAGCCTTCCAACCCCAGTTAATGGAGCTTTTCGGAGAAAAATGTACATTTGACACAGAATGAGAGTTATTGAATTTGTTTTTAGTAACAGGCAAGCCTTCCAACCCCAGTTAATGGAGCTTTTCGGAGAAAAATGTACATTTTGTTTCTATCACGTATCAGTACTTTTGAGTGGACAGGTCAAATGTAAATGCATAATGGAGATTCAATTATTTTAGGAGTTTACATATATTACTGTGTTTAGTTTTTAGGAAAAAAATTACAATGCAAAAAATTGTGTACATTTTTATATCAGAATTCAAGATAAATACTGCATAACTGTGATTTGTTTTAAAATATAGGAAAATGGATGGAATAGTGCAAAAGGGATGAAAATTTGACCCTATGAGGAACAAATCAGTGAGTGGGTTGTATTTTAAATAGAATTTTATTGTGCTTGGAAATTTGTGATTATTTTTATAATTATACTGGGAAAGAGAAAAGACTTCTGTAGGTTATTACCTTCGGAAATTTTTTTTTGTATATATAAAAGGTTTACATCAAAGTTCTCCATATGACTAATTGGGTTTTCAGAAGTCTCTTTTTATGAGTTGTGATTACAGATTTCTCATTTAAAAACTTGGTAGGTGAGCAGAGGAGATGAAGTTATTGTTTTATTTTGTTTATTTCTTAAATTCTACTTACTTTACTTATATTAGGGAAATTTTTCATTGTAAAATTTCCCTAACTAGTCTTGCCTGAAGTTCCTGATGGACTTCAGTTTGAGTAAGTTACGTTGAAAGAGCGTGAAATTAGATTTCTCTTAATAGCCACAAATTGCAAACGCAGCCTCTTGCGTTTCATCTTGAGGACTGATGGGTGTAGCTTTCATCTCAATATAGTTAAACTTCAGCTAATTTGTCACAAAAGGAGGAGTAAGTAATCTTCAGGGAAGCCCACCTCTGGGAAGACTCAACCAGTAACATGGCAGAGTTGACAGGCAGACCATGGAGCCATTACAACCACAGTTGATCTCACTGATGTTTGAGAATTTTATCAACATGATGATAGCTTGGGATTTTTTGCCCACTTTGTAGAAATCAAGGCAATTCAAGGAGTTTATTTATCTTTTAAGCAGAGATTGCTCCATCCCAGAAAATATACAAAAGCTATAATTGTGCCTCAAATTTGAAATGCACTTACAAAATAAATACCATCTTTATCTTAAAAAATTCTATTTGGTATTTAAAATTAGTACAGTGTATCTATTTCAGGGTAGGGGCAGAGAGAAGAGAATATCCCTCTATCCTTTATGATTTACCAAACTAATGATAAAATTACACTGTGGAATGTATGTACAAAAAGCTAAGCAAATGGAAGAAATCAGAAAATTGAAGTCTTTCATATGTTTGGTATTTTGAAGACAAAATTTTGCTAAATTGATAGATAATTTATTTTTCCCTCTAGAAGTTATTTAAATACATCTGGGCTTATTAATTATCAGTATATTAATTTATCTGAAGTTAATCTTTAATTGAGAAAGCTTGATAGCATAGTTTTATTGTTTTCTTTGTCCTTCCTCCTTTATCTACTAAAATCTAGAGACCTAGATGGTCTGGTCCCTTTAACTATATAAGATTTCACATTTTGTTAAGATATTGTTTGTCTAGAATCAATGTCTTAATCAGTAAGAATTTAGCAATGTCATTGTGGTTAAAGAAACTGTAATAAGGGACTGAAAAAGGCCTTTGTTATGAACATTTTGCATGTTAACAAACTTAATACTTTTTCTAAAATTGATTTGATTAAGAAAATAATTTTAATGTTCTATTTTAATTTGGAGAGAAATTATCAGAATCTTTTTATTTTTATTCAGGCAAACATGTTATGTAACCATTTTTGCAATACTGGTTTACTCTCCAGTATTAATTAGCATATATGAAGGTTCAGAATGCATTATTATCTCAAGTAGGTACTTGTGAGAAGCTTTACCTCTTTTTCACCCTCTTTTCCCATTCCTTAATTTATTTTTTCACTTATTTATTGAGCTTAGGGCATTTGTTAAACTTGGAAGATGGGACACAAACTTAAATAAGACAAATTTCCTTTTCTGAGGAGTCTTGCAAATATTGATGATTCAAGGTTTGGAATATGATGGTCCCCTGCAAGAATTACAAAATGTGGGGATTTAGAGGAGGGAAATTTCAGTGAGTCACTCTATGTGTAAAAAGGAATCCTATAATACAATTTGTGTTAAAATGACAATATGGCTATAGTTTTAAGTTGCAGAAGGATGGGATAAATAAATCTGTTTATGTGAAGTCATGGAAGGCTTTTTGTAGTGGAATTTGACTTATTTTCTGGCAACTGGAGTAGATTTCATTAAAAACAAGGAACACAGAACTTCAGAAATATCCTGACTGTGTGCCTGAGTGCCTCAGGCACAGTAGCTTGGCTTGGATTATTGAAGGATATAGGGATAAACATTGACAGGTAGACTGGATCCAGATTATGGAGATACTCAAATGTTTGGATGGGGAATTGGCATTTATTTCATAAATAATCAGGGAACAATGGAAGGTTAATTTAGAGTTTGAGATATGTAAGATGGTAGTGAATGTTTAGGAAGAATACCCTTATGGTAATATGTAGGATGATTTGGAAGATGGAAAGTTGTGTTATAAATCTCTTCTAATGGACCTTGTGAGGCATGGTAAAAAGGAAACCTAATATTGTGGAGACAATACAAGAGTAAATTCCCACTCTGCCACTGCCTAGCCATGTCATTTTCTATACGTCCTATAGTGTAATCCCCCTGAGTTTTAAAATTCTTATGAGTCAAATGAGGATAATGATATCTTTCACCTGGTTGTTTTGTGAATTAATGAGATAATGATTAAGAATGATCTAATTCAGAAAAGCTGGGCTTTAAAATGTTCGGTAGGAAGCTAGGACCATGTAGGATGGGGTCAATGATCTGTATGTAGGGCAATCCACCGAAAGAGATGGCTAACATCCTAAACGATAAATGACTTAGACCTAAAAGTGCATGGCATTGATACGTGAGAGGATCAGTCTATCAAATGGGTCATAACAAGGATTTGTAGATGGTTTAGCTACCCTAAGTCAAATATTTGGCTGTGCGCGAGTTCCAAATCCTCAGGACACTGGACTAGGGCCCAGCCAACAACTGGGAAAGGAGACTCAATATTCTTATGACAAAGCTATGTATAATTTTAGGATACTGCGTTCAGAAAAGAGCCACAGTTCCTGTGGGGGAACCAGGAGTGCTAATTTGTAATCCAGAGTAGAACCCTAGTTGTTAAGGTGGAAACAGCATCCCCAGTAAACCATAGTTTCTTAAGGCTTCTTTCAGCTGCTGGGATTCTAGGTATTCCACAGTCTATGTCAAGAGCCATGAGGGAAGGACCTAATAAACACTCTGCCCTGGTCAGAATCACGTCAGGAGCAGGGTGGGGCTGAACCTCCAGGTCTAAAGCTCTTCTCTTGCTGAGCCGGCCTCTGAAGGCCCTGGCAAATATTAGCTAGAAAGCACTAGTTGCTGTTATGATTGTGATGGCAGTGAAACTGGAAATGAAAGGTGAATTGGGAAGCCTTAAAAAGTTAGTAGGATTTGAGCGCTGCTGGATATGGGATGAAAAGGACAAAGAGGGGAGTCACATGTCACCTGGGCGTTCCGCCCTGACTAATATGAAGAATGGGAGGAAGGGATAATGAGAGCCATTTTTACGGAGGGGCCCTGTGTGTCAGAGGACAAAGTGGAATCGGGCAGAGGGACAGAGAGAGAAGCTGACTTCAGCTTGGGAAGGAATCCCAGTGGGGGCGCCCCTCAGGGAAGAGGATGTCCAGTAAGTGTTCGATTCGGGGAACTTGAGAATTGAGTCATTGTTCCTCTTGGTTTTTTTTTCTTCCCTCCTGTCGCCCGCAAGCACAAGGATATATTTCGTCTATTTTCCACTTTAGATCATCTTTAATCTTTTAGGATGTTAAACAACTATTTTTGGTTTCTGCGAAAGGTGATTGCAGGACTATTATTTAAAAATGAAATTTTATTTGTACTGATACCAGACTGACATGTGAGTACCATGTGGGTTCCAGGTCAATGTTTTATAATGCAGTGC